TCGTTATATATCTTTATATCCGCTCTCGCTATAATCTCTCTCATGATCGTTAAGAAGTCCTCTCGTTCGGTGTCCAGCTCCTCCTTTGGCCATGTGTAGCATGGCAGTAGACTGTAAGCATTTTTGATTATTAATTAATCATCCTGATTACAAATATCCAGTGTTATTATATCACCTTCTCGTTGGCAATCATTAATTTGTTTACCTTTAGGTGTTCTTTCACCAGCACGGCAACGTCTCCACCTTTCCTAATGGCAAAGGTAAGCTGAGTGTCGCTTTTTGTCTTCTGTGAGCCTGTCTTCTGTTGGGTGGCTAGGATGTGCTGAGTGGCAGCTGATGTCTGTTGGCCAGCGTGCCTTCTGTTGGGAGATAACGGGGGGGTAACCTGACCGTCATCTACTGTTTGCTGACGAACCCGTTTCCTGTTGTGTGACAAGGGTAACCTGAGTGTCAGCTGCTGTTTAACCCGTTTCCTGTTGTGACAAGCGTATTATTTAGTGCGTACAGACATCTCTGTTCTGGTCGACGCATTGCTTCACTACATAACCCGGGCCTACACACACACAACATAACCCAGGCCTACACACACAACATAACCCGGGCCTACACACACACAACATAACCCAGGCCTACACACACACACATAACCCGGGCCTACACACACAACATAACCCGGGCCTACACACACACATAACCCGGGCCTACACACATAACCCGGGCCTACACACACACACATAACCCAGGCCTACACACACAACATAACCCGGGCCTACACACACACAACATAACCCGGGCCTACACACACAACATAACCCGGGCCTACACACACAACATAACCCGGGCCTACACACACACAACATAACCCAGGCCTACACACACAACATAACCCGGGCCTACACACACAACACAACTAGGTCTAGATGTGAACCACACACTACTCTCCAGCACAGAACATCCGACACGCGAGTACTCCGTAGTACTCCGAGTACTCCAATAACCAACGTTCCTCCGTGGCATCACTGCGTCATTGCGTGTGTGTGTTCCCTCCATTGTGTCATATTTATGTTGAGACAAATATCACAACTATATTTATCCTTGTTTATTTATTTATTGGCTATGAAAATGGCACAGCTATCTTAATTTTATTGACATTTTTGTTCTGATGAAGTCAGAGATGAAATCAAAGAACATGAGGTTATGTTTCGGCCAAATGCAGTTACTTTAATTATTTTTTTTCATAATAGTGTTTCCCCTGTCAAGACTTACGAACATCTTGCTGGTCAATACATCCACTTAGCGTAAAAGAGCACCGGCTCTCTGTGACCTGTGGTATAGAGACCATAGAGCCAGGCAAGGAGTCTTGCCCTGGCTCTCTATGACCTGTGGTATAGAGGCCATTAGAGCCAGGCCAGGAGTCATGGACCATGCTCGAGGTAAGGAGGTCGTGGAGGAGTCGTCACAGTGTGAAGGGGTCGTCAGGAAGAAGAACACATCACTCTGATACCGTCCACTTGTGTGTGTGTGTGTGTGTGTGTGTGTGTGTGTGTGTGTGTGTGTGTGTGTGTCTGTGTGTTTCCTGTTGAAGATTTACAGTCTGTCAGTCCCTGTCAGCTGTTGTTCAATGGGTTGAGTCAGCTGATACCCGGGACGCAGACTGTCAGTCTTGCTGACCTCCCCCGTCAGCCTCACTCCTGTCTGACACCTTTGTTTGTGGTCCTTCCTGGTGCTGACATGGCCCCACGGCTCAAGCCGATGGGGTTCTCTCACTCAGCGGTCAAAACTGACACTGGAACCATGTCCCCATAGGTCTGGAACCATGTCCCATAGGTCTGGAACCATGTCCCCATAGGTCTGGAACCATGTTCCCATAGGTCTGGAACCATGTTCCCATAGGTCTGGAACCATGTCCCATAGGTCTGGAACCATGTTCCCATAGGTCTGGAACCATGTCCCATAGGTCTGGAACCATGTCCCATAGGTCTGGAACCATGTCCCCATAGGTCTGGAACCATGTCCCATAGGTCTGGAACCATGTTCCCATAGGTCTGGAACCATGTCCCATAGGTCTGGAACCATGTTCCCATAGGTCTGGAACCATGTCCCATAGGTCTGGATCCATGTCCCCATAGGTCTGGAACCATGTCCCCATAGGTCTGGAACCATGTCCCCATAGGTCTGGAACCATGTCCCCATAGGTCTGGAACCATGTCCCCATAGGTCCGGAACCATGTCCCATAGGTCTGGAACCATGTCCCCATAGGTCTGGAACCATGTCCCCATAGGTCCGGAACCATATCCACATCCCAGATCTCAACCACACAACAAGCTGACTAACTCCTGGGTACCTATTTACTGCTAGGTGAGAAGGTGCATTAGGCGATAGGAAACGCGCCAAACCATTTCTGCCCCGCCCGGGATTCGAACCTGGAATTCCCGATTGCGAGTCGAGAACGAACCCGACTGTACTACCGAAGGAATACGAAAGGGTGGTGACATGTTCCTTGACACAGGTTCAAGGCTCCAGCCCCGCCTGGCGGTGGGGCTATCCTGGCACGGGGAGTGTATGGATAGTGCCGGAGTAGTGCCTGTGGAGTGCCAGGGGCAGTGCCAGGGTAGTGCCTGGTGCCCGTAGAGTGTGTGTACTAGCCATAGCAGGAAGTTGTCCGCAGATGTCCGCGGCCTCTTATCTCTTTGGGCTGTCCGAACCTGGCTTAGCACCCCGTCCCTTCCCCTAGTACCTAGACCAGGAACACCAGTGACTTCCCTACACGCTCTCTCTACACTCTCACTCTCTCTCTCTCTCTCTCTCTCTCTCTCTCTCTCTCTCTCTCTCTCTCTCTCTCTCTCTCTCTCTCTCTCTCTCTCTCTCTCTCTCTCTCTCTCTCTCTCTCTCTCTCTCTCTCTCTCTCTCTCTCTCTCTCTCTCTCTCTCTCTCTCTACAATCTCACTCTCTCTACACTCTCTCTCTCTACGCTCACATTCACGGCCTCTCCTGTGAGTGGACAGCGCTCAGGAGTCGTAATTCTAAGGACTAAGGCGTTCGATTCCCAGCCGAGGAGGAAATAATTGTGTAGCGTTTCTCTCACCCTGATGCTCCTGTTCTCCTAGCAGTAAGTAGGTACCTGAGAGATAGACAGCTGCTACGGGCGGCTTCCTGGGGACGTGTGTGTGTGTGTGGGTTAGAGAAATATATATAGTAGACATGATAGAAGAAAAATAGATTGGTTAGAAAGGTGGGGGGTCCAAGAGCTAATAGCTCGATTCTGCAGACACAAATAGTAAACACACACACACACACACACACACTTCGCTGGAAGACAGAAGAGTAAGGGGGGACATGATCACCACATTCAAGATTCTGAAGGGAATTGATAGGGTAGATAAAGACAGTCTATTTAACACAAGGGGAACACGCACAAAGGGACACAGGTGGAAACTGAGTGCCCAAATGAGCCACAGAGATATTAGAAAGAACTTTTTTAGTGTCAGAGTGGTTGACAAATGGATTGCATTAGGCAGTGATGTGGTGGAGGCTGACTCCATACACAGTATCAAGTGTAGATATGATAGAGCCCAGTAGGCTCAGGAATCTGTACACCTGTTGATTGACGGTTGAGAGGCGGGACCAAAGAGCCAGAGCTCAACCCCCGCAAACACAACTAGGTGAACTAGGTGAGTACACACACACACACACACACACACACACACACACACACACACACACACACACACACACACACACACACACACACACACACTCACACACACACACGGACTCGTAAATAAAGGAGTAGAGTTACAAGAACGAGTGGCAGAAGTACAACTACACATGATGGCGACAACAGAGACGAAACAGAGAAGTGATATGGGTAATAATCCTCCCACGAGAGTATCAAGCAATAAGGAGAGGGAGAGACAGGGCGTGGGGGTGTAGCCGTGTTGCTGCAACTTATCTACACCTTTGAAGAATTAACATTAGCAAAGGAATCCGATCAGCAAGATCAGATTCCCTTAGGAATTACTAGGAACTGCAGCAGCGGGAAGCATATGGTGTTGGCAGTGATTTATAAATCTCCCAGCAAACAAAAGAAGACTTAGGGAAGAATACGACTGATGCAATGTGAATTGTCTAAAGGTAATGGGGAAAAAACAGCCACTGTAACAATGGAGCTAAAATCCTTATACTGGACTGACGGACTTCAACATAAGAAATAGAGTGGATAAATAATGATGCCCGCGGGATGGCTGAGACATGGAGACCAAGACTGCAAACATTTTCCCCTCACACTGTTCACAATATTGCAGGTATTCACTGCATGTAGCTTCACTGCAGTTCCAGGCCTCAAGTAGAAACCAGCGAGCAAGATGTACTACTGTGCTACTGTGTCCACTGTGTCCATTGTGTCCACGGTGCCACTGTGTCCACACTGTCCACTGTTCAGCTAGCACGAACATCACAATTATGACACATATCTTCAGCAATAAATGTAAAAATAATAAACTGATTTTGAAAGCCAGGTGAGAAAATGATGCCGCCACGTCAACGTCTCGCTAATGGGTCGGGATTGACACCAAATTTCACCTGTTGACCAGTCCACACACTAGAAGGTGAAGGGACGACGACGTTTCGGTCCGTCCTGGACCATTCTTAAGTCGATTGTGTGTCAAGTCACACACAATCGACGTGAGAATGGTCCAGGGCGGACCGAAACGTCGTCGTCCCTTCACCTTCTAGTGTGTGGTCTGGTCAACATACATCAGCCACGTTATTGTGACTCATCGCCTGCAAATTTCACCTGCTCTAATTTCACCTTAATGAACTAATGTTGTACAAGGAGGGCGAATGTAGTTGTACCTTGTAACAGCCAAACGTTTCCGAGGTGTAAACAAATATATTAAATAATAATAATAAAGAATGAGTGATGAGGCTGAGGAAGAGGAGGATGAATAATGGCTTCTTAAGAGCAGGAGGCGCAGCAGCAGGAGGAGGAGGTACTTACCTGTAGGCGTTGTAGAGGCGTAGTCTGGCCAGGGAGACCGGGTCGGTCGCCGGCGCCAGCAGAGGGCTGGGCACCCCTGGCTCCTCGCTCTCTTCGCCTCCAGAAGTATCAGCGTTCAGCATCTTCCTCTCCCACTCTCCTTCTCTGCTGTCTAGAGTCTGCTCCTCAATGCTGCGGGAAGGTGGCGTGGTTGGCTGACCTGCTGCTGGGGGGCCTGGCGGCTCAGTGCTGGCTTCTTCCAGAGTTTGCATTCAGGGTTCTTCCAGGTAGTTGATGAGAGTATGGCACCCGTTGAGTTCCTTCCAGATACGTCCCAGTGCCTAAATCCAGTCAGTTGTGTTTCTATCGGGCTCCAAATTCGGTCCAATGTGTTTACAACTTGTCAGTCTCTGGAGCTGACTAAGGTGCCAGCCAAGAGACAGAAAGCTCAAGATGAGAAGGACTTAATTATACCAATGACGAGAACTTGAAAACTTTGTCCAACGCTGACTGTAATGCTCTCACCAGGTGGGAGTGTGGACACGGTGGGCGCCAGGCACCAGCGGCACGGACGCTCCTGCCACTCTGACCGTCACTAGTCACTAACTTGCAAATGAAAGGGGTCACGACTTCAGAAATAACGAGGAACGTCTCACTTCAGTAACCAGAACACAGCAGCAATTCAGAACGAGACTGGGAGCAGATAGGAACACATTAATGTTGAGGTACTCTGGAACATCAGGAACGCGGTACCATCGTGGTCCTTCTCCACAGTTCACAGGAACAAATTACCGGAATGTATCAGAGTAACAATAAGGAACTACTGGTCAGGAACCTTGTAGTAATGAGACATATAATTCCAGTTGTCAAGATTTGTGGAACACTGATGAACTTGTCATTGACGCTAATCGTAAGTCGGACACGAGATAGAACACTGTCAGCAAGCAGTAGAGATGAGCAGGAACGGCGCCAGGCGCTAGCAGGGAGGAGCAGGAGACGAAGTCAGCAGAGAGCTGCAGTAAGCGGGGTCAGCAGGCAGCAGGGGGTGAGATCTTGTCCAGTGCCCGGTTGACAGGCATCTGTGCCAACACGCTCCGTGCTTCAACGGAAACAGATACCAGAGGTGACCACTGGCACCCCCACTCTCATGTGCTTCCAGTGACCGACCTCCCCCACCTCTATTGGCACACCCCACAACACCAGGGCCACACCTCCACACCACCAGGGCCACACCTCCACAACACCAGGGTCACACCTCCACAACACCAGGGCCAAACCCCCACACCACCAGGACCACACCCCCACACCACAGGTGGCCACACCCCCACACCACCAGGGCCACACCCCCACACTACCAGGGCCACACCCCCACACCACAGGTGGCCACACCCCCACACCACCAGGGCCACACCCCCACACTACCAGGGCCACACCCCCACACCACAGGTGGCCACACCCCTCCCCCCAAGCACCAGGGCCACTCACACACCACAGTAGTGTAGAAGAGAACGGGAACCATACATGTTGCTTGCCCTTACGTTGCAAATATTTTTGGTAGCTCGCTAAAGACTGCTTAATTGTACTAAGTCATTTTTGGTGTATTGTTAATGATTCCTTATTGAACATAAGAAATAAGAAACCATTGTACACATAACAAGCAAGGAACCTGCAGCTAACTACCCAACCACACTCCGAGGGGAAGATTACTTCTAGATGACGGCGTCACAATATATAGATTAGCGATCTCCTCAAATAGTTCCTTCCTTAAACTAACCTAATCGTAGGGAACCACCCCCCCATACTTTCCCTATCCACCACCTCCCCTCAATCCCCCATACTTCCTCCCCTATCTCCCGCCACCATGCAGACGCAACTTGACGCGCGCTAAAAGGTTTAACATCACAAGCTTCCCGCTCTAGCTGCGACTGGCGCGGGCGGGCGGGCGGGCGCCCTAAATCCGAATTTCGATCGAAATATCGCACGGTTCCCGGCACGTTTCTTACTGCTGAGGTTCAAGTTCAAGTTCAAGTATGTTTATTGAGATAAGAAAGAAATACATCTCAAAGGGATAGAGTAGCTTAGGCTATTTCTACCCCCCCCCTCACTACTGAGGTGATACTTGAGTGGTGGTGGTAGTGGTGGTGATTGTGGTAGTAGCGGTAGTGATGTTGGGGGGGGGTAATGTTGGTGCTTGTGGTAGTGGCAGCGATTGTAGTAGTGGTGATTGTGGTAATGGGAGTAGTGGTGATTTGCGGCAGTGGTGTTTGTTTTAGTGGTAATACTTGTGGTAGTAGTGGTATCAGTAGTAGTAATAGTGGTAGTAGTGGCGGTACTGGTAGTAGTGGCGGTACTGATATCAGTGGTAGTAGTGGCGGTACTGATATCAGTGGTAGTAGTGGCGGTACTGATATCAGTGGTAGTAGTGGCGGTACTGATATCAGTGGTAGTAGTGGCGGTACTGATATCAGCGGTAGTAGTGGCGGTACTGATATCAGTGGTAGTAGTGGCGGTACTGATATCAGTGGTAGTAGTGGCGGTACTGATATCAGTGGTAGTAGTGGCGGTACTGATATCAGCGGTAGTAGTGGCGGTACTGGTATCAGTAGTAGTAGTGGCGGTACTGGTATCAGTGGTAGTAGTGGCGGTACTGATATCAGCGGTAGTAGTGGCGGTACTGGTATCAGTAGTAGTAGTGGTAGGAGCGGTGATTGGGTTGCGAGAAGTATCAGTCCAGTATATATATTTCCGTTGTTGTACACCGTATATCAACAAAAAGCGGCTCGTCCACCATGTTATCACATCCGCCCCGGATGTCATTGGGGAACTGAACCAACTGACACTAGTTGAGGGCTGACCGAGCTATGTTGAGGGCTGACCGAGCCGTGTTGAGGGCTGACCGAGCTATGTTGAGGGCTGACCGAGCCGTGTTGAGGGCTGACCGAGCTATGTTGAGGGCTGACCGAGCCATGTTAAGGGCTGACTGAACCATGTTGGGAACTGACTGTGGATGTTGAGGACTGACTGTAGCAGGATGGAAGCTAACTTAAACTGATTGCAAAATTTTAGAAGATGGGTGGCCTTAAAATAAGTACTTTGAATTTACGAGAGAAAGAACTTTTGGACCCCACGTATATGTTTAAGCAAATTGTGCCACACTGTATCTCTTCAGTCTTTCTTAAATGTGTATATTTCTTTCTGAGTGTACTCGTGCCTGATGATATGCATATCAAGAACCAACTGCCGCGGGGAGAGCTCATTTTCTGCTCTAAAATGAATCTAGAGAAACCTGAGGTCATGAATAAAAGACAAGGAGCCAGATTCGCGAAGCAGTTACGAACCTGTACATCTTTTCTCAACCTTTGGCGGCTTTGTTTACAATTATTAAACAGTTAATAAGCTCCGAAGCACCAGGAGGCTGTTTATAACAATAACAACAGGCGATTGGGACGTTTTTATGTTTGTAAACTGGTTAATAAATGTAACCAAAGCCGTCAAAGATTGAGGAAAGATGTACACTTTCGTAAGTACTTGGGTAACTACTTCGTGAATCTGGCCCAAGATGATCAACTTTTCCTTGATGTACTTCGATGTACCTCAAGACAGAACATTTGCGAAAACTTTACTCTCTGACAATTATTTATGATTTTGCAAGCCTAAAATGTCGCAAATTTCAATTTTGAATTTTTGTATCGTAATTATTTCTAATATTGTTAAAGAGAATTAACTAGAGAAGTAGTTAAAAAATGTAAAAATCATCATTGATTAGAAGATCAGTTAGGATTTTTAGACCATTTTATTTTTTACAACTAATTTCGGAGCTCACGATCACCGACAGCTGTAATTAGGGTTTTAGGCATAAGCCCGTGCAACTTAAAGACAGAGCCGGATTAAATCTTTCGTAGGCCTTAGACACCTCTAAGATATGGGGTCAGGTTCAATAGCATGTTCACTAAAGCACAAGTTAGTATAACTTATGTTGAACAAACCCACAAGGGCCGTGACAAGGACTCGAACCTGCGTCCGAGAGCATCCCAGACTCCCGATGTTCATTTGATGCATCACGCAATTGTGATTTCTGTGTGTAAAAACTACGTTGCTTTCATCTTGGCCCAGAACATGACTAAATACACTATTATAAAAAATAAATTAACGTCAATAGACATTAATCGAATTAATTAACAAACTAATGGGAAAAGTGCTCTCGGAATTTAAGTAATGTCCCCCTAAAAGTGGGGTAAGCAAAGTTATTGTTTTATTTTGAGTAGGGCCCCCCCCCCCTTCACTATCTCGTAGACCGTAGGCACTGTGCCTAATAAATAACTCGGCACTGCCTAAACGGCTGTCTGCCATTGTGTAGAGTTGTAGGGCGAGGCTTTCATCAAGAACGAAAAGATGAGATGAATAGAGGCCAGCATGGCAGAGTGCTGATGAATAGGCTTCCCATCAAGACGGGAACTATCAGGAGAAAGCGCCAAGCCATTACGACTAATATAGCACTTGGAAGGGGGTCAGGATAAGGATTTAGGATGGGACGGGTTAAGGACTGGTGTCCAACCACTATTTCACCATTATAAATTCACATTAATGCATTTATAAATCTATGTATCTATGTATTTAGGTATGTAGCTTAGCCTAACATTTTAAAAGCACTACAATCACCTTCTGTGGTTGTTCAATAAATCTCTGAATTGTATGTTTGACAAATCTTTCACCCTGTCCATGGAGGATAGAAGAAAATGCATATATGCTGCTTAGCATTGTAAATGTGTGGCCACGTCTGTGGTAGAAAATAATAATAATAATAATAACAAAACTTGGACGATCGGGGATTGAACGCCGACTTGCATGTAGCAAGACCGTCCCTCTACCGTCCAGCCCAAGTGGTAGGGAGTTAGTTATGAGGGGGAAAGCGCCAAGCCATTACGACTGTATATCACTTGGAAGGGGTCAGGATAAGGATTTGGGATGGGACGGGGGAAAGGAATGGTGCAAAAAACCCGCTTTAATCATTAACATGAAAATTAAAACTATAAGCGTGAACGTGAGGCTTTAGGAAAATATTTTAGAATAACAAATTTGATTCTGTATTGCATAAAGTCATCAATATCCTCACTGGTATTTTCCTATATTATTTTCCAAGCTTTTCCGGTCAGATACCTGCCAGCGCCATGGGAGAAGACGCGGGATAATGATCATTATGATGATAATGATGACCATGAGAATTATCAAAACCATAATTGAATCAATGTTAATTTGTTCAAACAAATAAATTCAATTTTGCATTGATGAACACAACAGAAACGAAATTGTTATAAAGATTTTACCAAACACTTGGAAAAAGACGAAAACTACGAAGCATAAAGTATCGTACACATCAAAAACCTGAATTAACACAATGACAAACTTAATTTAATCTACAAAACACGTAATGTTTGTTTGAACCGTCCACGGAGGGGGGGGGGGGGGGTAAACAAGAAGTGAGGGGTAAGGGGGGGAGGGGGGAAAGTGAGGTATGAGGGGAGGAGAAGTGAGAGTGAGGGGGGGAGAGGGGGAGAGAGGAGGAGGCTGGCGCGATGCAGATAGCGGTGCCACACTTCCGGTGATATCCGCGGGAATACCGTCTCTGTACCGCTACTGCTGATGCTTCTCCAACCTCGCCACAGCCCTTCCTCACCCCCCACCACACTCGCCTTATCCGGAGCCCCGGGGGGTCCTTCAGGCATGAGCATGGCCATCCAGATTTATCCGATGTGTCCGGTTACTAGATTCCTACAGTAGACGCAGGTATCACCTTGACATCCGGTCCGGTCTGCCGATTACGGTACATGGGCCGCAGCAGAGGCTGGACAAGGAGACAGAACCCAGCGGTACGGCGCTGGAAATGATGTACCTATGATCTGTCTCAAGCTGTCCTGGTCTTCCGGTGTGGCAGGTGTAGGAATGTCCACGATAATAATAGTCCACCAACAGACGTCCAAAACGGTTCAAGGTGCCTAACCCAACGGTACAACATTTGCAAATAGGGTTGCTGAAAACCTGAGAATAAAGAATCCGGACAATGCCACCTCAGTAAAATAATAACCTGAATGTAACAAAACTGAACTTGCTTTTATTAACAGTCTTAGGTATATGCAGCAATGTGCTATTACTTTTTTCTGTATG